GGTACCAACAGATCCCTCTGCACAACAAGCCAGGAGACCAAGTTAAACCAACACAAATCAATTTACACCCCTCATTATAAACATGCCATTAACACTGACTGGCAAAGAGGTGTGCAAATTTTTCCCAGCGCTGCAACATGAAATCAGATTCAAGGAAGTGATTTTCTAGCTGAATCTCACTCTTCATGTCTCTGAACAGCTACCCTGGGCCATGATTCATGCCATCTCTAATAGATTTAAGGAACTTCTGTTCTCCTCACAGACTCAAGGGAAGCTCTGGTCAGGGGCACCATTTCAGATTTTGGAAGGGGGGTGCTGACCTGCCCATGCCTTTCTGACAGGGTGGAAGACAGGGAGAGCATGGAGGAACAGATGAGGACAGTGGCTTCAGCAGTGTTACCGAGCATGCTCAGTACAAGCCAAGCAGCAAATTGGGAGTGGGGGACCAATCCATTTGCCTCCCCCCCCCACACACACACACATCACATCACCTCTTTCTCGGGCTACTAAGGCACTGGAAAATTCTCGGGTTTTTTGCAGGTAACTTAGCTGACAGGAGCCCTATATCTAATTCCCATATAAAAGAAAGAAAATTTAAATAAATATTAGACCCACTCAGCTCTAATACTAATGTGTTCTGACATCTTGTAGCAAGTCACTTAAGAGACACTGGTTAGGCTTAAAATTGTAATATATAGCTTTACTTTCTTACTAACTGCAGAGAAAGAGAGAGAGAGTCAGAACTCCTGGGCGTGCTCTCAGCTTGGAAGCAGAGTGTGGTCTAGTGGGTTACACCAGGGGCAGATACATTCGGGCTCTATATAGGCTCAGAATGGCCATAATGAGTCTGACCAATGGTCCATCTAGCCCAGCGTCCTGTCTGCCGACAATAGCAATGCCAGGAGCTTCAGAAGGCATCAACAGAAGAGGCATTTATCAGATAATCCATCTCCTGTTGCCCATTTCCAGCTTCTGGCAAACAGAAGCTTGGGACACTATTCCTGCCCATTCTGGCTAGCAGCCATAGATAGACCTATTCTCGAACTTATTTTGTTCTTATTGGAACCATGCTATATTATGGGCCTTTCCACCATCTTCTAGCAAAGAGTTCCATAGGTTGATTGTGAAAAAATAATTTGTTTTAAATCTGCTGTCTATACATTTAATTTAATTCTTGTGTTATGTTAGTGAAGGAGTAAATAACATTTCCTTATTCTATTTTCCCACACCATTCATGCCTTTCTAGACCTCTGACATATCTCCCCACCTTTTAGTCATTTATTTTCCAAGCTAAAAAGTCCCAATCTTGTTATATCCCCTCATATGGAAACTGTTCCTTACCACTAATAATTTCCATTGCTCTTTCTGTTTCTTTTCCAAGTCCAATACACCCTTTTTATTTTAGATGGGGTGACCAACCTGCATGCAGTATTCACAATGTGGGCATGCCATGACTTTATATAGAGGCAATACGATATGTTCTGTCTTATTATCTATTCCTTTCCTAATGATTCCCAATGTTCTGTTAGCTTTTTAGTTTTTAGACTGCCCTGCACATTGAGCAGATGTTTTCAGGGAACTATCCACAACGATTCCAATATTTCTTTCTGGAGTGGTAACAACTATTTTAGATCCCATCATTTTTGCACGTATAGTTGGGATTATATTTTCCCACGTGCAATATTTTGCATTTCTCCACACTGAATTCCATCTGCCTTTGTGTTGCCCAGTCGCTCAGTTTTGTGAGATCTCTTGTGACTCTCTGCAATCAGCTTTGCACTTAACTATTTTAAGTAATTCTGTAGTATCTGCAAATTTTGCAATCTCACTATTTACCCCTTTTTCAAGAACATTTAAATGTTTAACAGTACTGGTCCAAATTCAAATCCCAGCAGCACAACACTCAATATTATTTCCCTTCCCCCACCCCCTATTTTTAAGTACCTGGAAATGTTTTCATGATGATCTAAGGATCCCTTAATTACTGGAATGACCAGTCTTTTATTATTCTTAATCACCTGCCTCCCTTTTTTATAACAAACTCCCAGTCCCAAAGGCAAAGCTGCAAGCAACTCAAACTCTACTGCAATTCAGAGCTGCCTTTGGAGCCAGGGCATGCAGCTTCAAGCAGACCTCCAGTATGAAATCTAGAGGTTCAAACTCAGGAGGGGGACTACTAGTCCCCTAATTCCCCATAAATGGTGCCCATGATTCTGGTCTCCTCCTGGCCAGTTTCTAAAATCTGTTTCTGTAGTTGCCATTCTCCCTAAGTTAATCATTCATTCTCATGTAGCACTTTCCATTCACATACCCCAAGCACCTTAAAAATAATATCATCACCATTATCCCCATTTTACAGATGAAGAAACTGGGGCACTGAAATTGAAGTGACGTGCCCAACGTCACTCAGCGAGTCATGTCAGGTAACCAAATTGAGGCTAATTGTTTTAGGGGATTCTCTGAATGGACTCTCTTCAGATTGTAAATTGCAAATCATCCAAACACTTCAGGCCAGCCTGCATAGCTAGGGCCTTACCAAATTCATGGTCATGAAAAAAACACATCACAGGCCATGAAATCTGGTCTGTCACTATGAAATCACTCTCTTTTGGTTTTTTGTATGCTTTAACCCTATTCTCTACAGATTTTATGGGAGGGACAGCAGTGTTTCTCAGACAGAGTCCTGACCCAAAAAGGAGTTGCAGGGGGTTTGCAAGGTCATGTTAGAGGGGTCCCTCTATTGCCAGCTTTACTTCTGCGCTTCCTTCAGAGCCAAGTGGCTGAAGAGGGGCAACTGTTGGCCAGTTCTGAAGGCAGTGCCCCACTTGCAGGAGTTGAGAAATAAGGGTTCTCATATCATACCATTCCATGGATACTTCTGTGCTGCTGCCTACTGAGCTGGGTGGACAGACTGGTGGCTGTTGGCTCAGTGCACAGCTCTGCTGGCAGCAGCGCAGAAGAAAGAGAGGCAACACCATGCCACGGCGTCCTTACTTCTGCGCTGCTGCTCTGCCTTTAGAACAGGGCTCTCTGCCAACAGCCAACGCTCTCTTGCTGCCCAGTGTAACCGCCACCAGGCAGATTTGAACCTGGGACCTCTGGAGTGGAGTATAGGAGCCTCTAATCTCTGAGCTAAAAGCCAGCTGGCTCCCAGCCCACCCTGTAGAGGTCTCTTGGTCTTAACTGTTGCTGTGGTCTCGGTACCACTTGCATTGCTCAGTAACCACACTAGGACTGTGTCTACACTCGTGGCTTCTTGCGTCAGAAGTATGTAAATGAGGTTAAGCATGGAATATCACTGAGCCTCATTTGCATACCTAATGAACCATTTTTGAAAAAGAGGCTCTTGTGCCAGAAGGAGCTGTCTACACTGCCCTTTCTTGCGCAAGAAAAAACCTCTTGTGCAATGCCGTTGCGCCAATTATTTTCAGGAATATCACCGAATATCATTTGCATACTTCTCGTGCAAGAAGCCGTAAGTGTAGACATAGCCTAAGTATGTAGGTTACACCAGCTCTGAAGGCAGCTTCACCACCAGCAGCACAGAAATAAGGGTAGCAGTAGCCACAACCCCCCTTGCAACAATCTTGCGACAAGCCCCCACCCTACCCCCCTTTGGCAGCAGGAGCCCTACTATTACAATACTATGAAATTTCAGATTTAAATGGCTGATGTGAAATTTCCAATTTTTAAAATCCTATGACTATGAAATTGACCAAAATGACTGAATTTGATAGGGCCTTAATCATAGCACTTAGCACATAGCTTAAATCTTACAGTGAAGTCAGACCTAATGTACATGCAGAAGCTTCAGGGGGTAGCCATGTTAGTCCTATGAAGAAGTGGGCTCATGGACTATCTACGTGTTTTGTTAGTCTGTAAAGTGCTACCACTTTATAATGTATGTGCTTAAGTGCTTTGATAAATAAGATGGGGATTATTCATGCCCTTAAGACTAAGAAGATATTTAAATGATTGCTGAATCAGGACCATGACACATTTGTGTAGAATTTAAGCAAACAAACCAAGACACTGTCCTCTTCTCTAATTTTCCTGAGTCATACAAAATTAATCTCGGCCCATAATATGTAGCTCAATTATATCTATCCACATTTCACTGATCAAGGGTTATTTGGTACACAGAATTTATCCCTGTTCCTAAATTCATTTACCATGGACTTGACATAATTTTCAGACTTTTTTCCCCTGAGGTCATATTTTCACTTGTTAATATTTTTTTAAGAGAGAAGAGAGGAGGGAATCCAGGTTGGTTCCTGGATGACCAAGCTTATGAAATCAAATAAATGTAAATGACCAGAGTATCTCAAAAATCCAGTGAGCCAAGGAGAAGAGTCAAAATAAATTAGAAAAATAACTCTTGTCCACAAGAAGGAACATAATGAATATTGATTTTTTTAATATTAAGTGTAAAACTATATCAGTGATATTTACTGCAAAAAAAGTTAATGATGACAATTCAATCCATTGTTCCATAGATCCTCAGTGAAATTATGCACTCATTCTTCTCAAGGCTAATGCTAGCAGAACTGATATGACAGGTTGAAGAGAGCCCATTTTGATGGATTGTGACACAGCTGGCAGCCTCGTGTTATAAAGGACCCTGAGAAACAGATCCATGTTGACAGAGGATTATTAACTGCTGTTCATTCTTTTAAGAGGTTAAGAAACTGTATTAGCAGCCTGATAACTACATCCAGTGGGAATCAGTCTCTTGCTGTTAGCAAGTACACACCTTGGAGAAAGTGCCACAAAATGTTCATTTTAGACTGGAGTGATTAATGGGATTAGAACTTAGGCTGCAGGCTGTGATAGGGTAATGGGAGCAGAGTTGAATGGGCAACTCAAAGCCTGTAGAAACTCCTTTATGCATTTCCCACAGATGCACTGCCTGGAGACAGCTGCTAAGACTCTGGGTTAACTTAAAAGAACAAAATTACAGACATCAGCGGCTCAAGTGTAAACGAGACTGGGAAACTTACTCAGTTTTCTGCACGATGGGGAAGCTTCCAAGTCGCACATAAGAACTCCGAATTCCATTTTCTTTCCTTCCAAAAATCTCCATCACACTGAACAAATCCACCAGGTCAAACCCTGTCCCAAAGTAGAGGGTAAAGACAAGACTGTGATCAGGTGACTGTGCAAACCACAGAAAAAAGGTCTCTCTCAGCCATGGATGCCAAACTTCAGAAACGGGTCCCAGTTCTGCTTTGAAGACATCTGAACCTAGTTCCAGCATGATTTAGTCTGTCAAATTACACCAAAATCAGAGTGATAAACACATAGAAAGAGGAAAAGAAACTGCAAATGCCTCAGAGATAAGAATGAAAATATACATGGAATTATTATTATTATTACTTGTATTACCATAGCACCTAGGAATGGAAGATATTCAATTAATTCATTAGAATTACACAGGTAAGAAGAAAAAATAACAATAGATAAAAATTAGGGAAGCCTTTTATTGAGCCTTAGGGAAGCCTTTATTAGTCGAAAGGCTTGTCACCGCATGATTTCTGTACCAGTTTAACTATATTCATTTTAAACAAATCCAACATAGATGATTTGGGGCAACCCTTTGTGTGAATGCAGTTGTAACAGTTTAGAAGTGTTTATATTGGAACAGCGTATTATGATAAATTTCTATTAGGCGTTTCCACCAATTTAAGTACATCCGTTTTTAAACCAATGTAGTTGAATTGGAACAAGGATTGTATGTAATCCAGTCATGAGACAGAGAAATAGATAGTAGGAGACAGCAAAATATACACCTGAAGTATGCTGTCTGTTGTGCTGCAGGAGGAGGGGACCTTTTTAAAGTAGATGATCCTTTGATTTTCATGAGTTTTCCTTGTTCTCAGCAGCCTTCCCTTCTTTCCATTCTGCTACTGCACAATCAAGAGGTTAAATAAGACAACTAAGATACTCTCAGGGCTTCATGACTTCATTCCATAACCACTTGGGTGACAACTCCAGTGACGGACCTTCTGACATACTGTCATCAGCCATGATTGTGTCTATAAATTGTAGCAAATAGAGATTACCAGGACATAAAAGCTCCAGACTGGCTATAATATAAAACCAACATGACCTGTCCATAGAAATGTACCGATATCGCTCATTTCACCCTGCAGTACATATTTTTCATTTAACCAAACATATTGACATGAGGAAAGAGCACTAGTGTTGTCTGTGAGAAATGGTTTGCATTGATTGGCAAGGAAGTTTTGTTAGCTGTCCACCAAAGCTAATTTGTGAAGGGGCAGGTTGGATCACTGCCAAGATTGCAATTCCAATTCTACATCAGCTGCCAGACTTTTCAAATGATGTAGGAAAAGCTTTGCTATGTAGATACAAGTTATGGTGATGAAAACTTCTTCCAGGTCTCAGATGCCCAACATGCTTTAATCTTTCCCTGACAACTCAAGCAAACTTCTTATCTTAAGAGACTGTTTATTGCTTTCAAACTGTTACAGTTGATGTAAATGAAGTGTCAGGTTCAATCAATCGCTCCATCATGCCGAAATCCCTAAAAGAGAGCAGGATCCAGGCTGCTTATGCTGATAAAACAACACAATGAAATGGGCAAGCAAGCTTGTTAAAACTACTTTGCAAATAGAACCTAACGATAATTTTAATTGTACATCATGCAGGCAAATTACAGCAGAATCTCCTCGTTTCACACTAAAGATGGATGCACTGCAAATGACTTTAATTTTAGAGAATTGACGAGTAAATGAACAAACAGTGAAACAGAATCAGTCTCGCTTAGCAAAAAAACTTTGTTCATCTACCATGAGAATAGTACCGAAATTATATATTTATGATGCTTCAAAACATATTCGTAAGGACACTGTGGGGGCATAATTTTCCAAAGGAATGAAGCTTTCTTAAGGAGACATTGCTGTGTGGCTTCCCATCATGGTTTTCAACTAATACATTGTAGGCTTAAGATCAGAATAGCAAGTATTAAAGTGTTTATTTTTCACTGCCCCATCCATCTACGACATAACCTCCCCCCTTAAACCTCCCCTTAAACCTCCCCCCTTAAAGAGACACCCATCACATTTGCAAATTACAATTTTGCACTATTTCTTCCCCAGACTGTTTCCTTTCTGTGTCTGGGGGTATGTCTATTCTGCATTCCTCTGTCGGCAGAGGGATGCAGATTAGGCAGGTCGACATTGCAAATGAAGTGGGGATTTAAATATCCTGCACTTCATTTGCATAAAAGTGGCCACCACTTTTTGCCACCGTGGCACTTTGTTGGCAAAAAGTGGCAGTCTAGAGGGGGATCTGTCGAGAAAGAAAGCCTTTTTCGACATATCCCTTATGCCTCCTGCAAGGAGGTTTACAGTATCAGTCGAAAAAGGCTTTCTTTCTCGACAGATCCCCCTCTAGACTGCCACTTTTTGCCAACAAAGTGCCACGGTGGCAAAAAGTGGTGGCCACTTTTATGCAAATGAAGTGCAGGATATTTAAATCCCCACTTCATTTGCAATGTCGACCTGCCTAATCTGCATCCCTCTGCCGAGAGAGGGATGCAGTCTAGACATGCCCTGGAAGAGAGAGGATGGCTTCTTCTCAAGCTGCAACTCTCTCTGGCCTGCCCTGCAAAGCACTGAGACTAGCTGGCTACTTAGTGATGAGTATGCTGCTAAGGGATGGAGAAGCATGAAACTTTTATTTATTAGTTCCCTAAATAGAAGAACTAGAGGTCACCAAATGAAATTAATGGGTAGTAGGTTTAAAACAAATAAAAGAAAGTTCTTCTTCACACAGCGTGTAGTCAACCTGTGGAACTCCTTGCCAGAGGAGGCTGTGAAGGCTAGGACTATAATAGAGTTTAAAGAGAAGCTAGATAATTTCATGGAGGTTAGGTCCATAAAAGGCTATTAGCCAGGGGATAAAATGGTGTCCTTGGCCTCTGTTTATCAGAGGCTGGAGAGAGATGGCAGGGGACAAATCGCTTGATCATTGTCTTTGGTCCACCTTCTCTGGGGCATCTGGTGCTGGCCACTGTCGGTAGACAGGATACTGGGCTAGAAGGACCTTTGGTCTGACCCAGTACGGCCGTTCTTATGTTCTTATGTTCCCGTGAGAGACAGCAAGTGTCTCCTGGCCTCCTTGAATTTCCTCTGGAAAGGAATGAGCCATGCAATGCTGTTGTTAGCAGGCACAAACCAAGTCCTGGGAAAGGATTATACAGATCTTAGCTTTCTGACCTTTTCCACAAGTAGAACAGGCTAACACATTCTATTCTTGGATAGCACAGTGCATGGATATACTATTGGTTCGCCAGTAAGGGTGGTAGACTTCAGCAGGGAAGATGAACTTTTCCTGTGTTTGATTGAAAATGTGGCCGCCACCAGCAGCACAGATGTGGTTAGCTGGATGGCTTCCGAGCTGTTTAATCAGCAAGGCTATAAATACGGCAGCTAATGAGATGGATAATACTCTTTGATCATCAGGAGCCTACTTCTTTATGGCCACTAAAACATTATGAGGCTACTGAAAACATCTAGCCTGATTAAGTCTCATGAAAAGCAATGTGCCCTGGTCAGACCAATAACATTAGAACAATGACCTGAAAGACAGGCTCTGTTTCACAGTGACAAACCTGACTAGGAAAGTAATTTCTCAGGCCCTGCTCTGCTGATCAAATCAGACCGATGTCTCTTTATTTGCAGTAATAACTTTTTACAGAAAGAAGCCAGCTACTCTGGGTGCAGACAGCACAGTCTTACTGGACGATGGCAGGAAGAAAGCAACCAGACTGTGGCCGGGGTACCATTCACTTTGTCCTAGCTATAATCATAGAATCATAGAATACAAGGACTGGAAGGGACCTCGAGAGGTCATCGAGTCCAGTCCCCTGCCCTCATGGCAGGACCAAATACTGTCTAGACCACCCCGATGGACATTTATCTAACCTACTGTTAAATATCTCCACAGATGGAAATTCCACAACCTCCCTGGTCAATTTATTCCAGTGTTTGACCACCTTGACAGTTAGGAACTTTTTCCTAATGTCCAACCTAAACCTCCCTTGCTGCAGTTTAAGCCCATTGTTCTATCCGCAGAGGCCGAGATGAACAAGTTTTCTCACTCCTCCTTAGGACACCCTTTTAGATACCTGAAAACTGCTATCATGTCCCCCTTCAGTCTTCTCTTTTCTAAACTAAACAAACCTAATTCCTTCAGCCTTCCCTCATAGGTCATGTTCTCTAGACCTTTAATCATTCTCGTTGCTTTTCTCTGGACCCTACCCAATTTCTCCACATCTTTCTTGAAATGCGGTGCCCAGAACCGAACACAATACTCCAATTGAGGCCTAACCAGTGCAGAGTAGAGCGGAAGAATGACTTCTCGTGTCTTGCTCACAACACACCTGTTAATGCATCCCAGATCATGTTTGCTTTCTTTGCAATGGCATCACACTGCTGACACATATTCAACTAATATTTGAGAACATTTCCTTTTAGAACTGATGTATCCACTCTGTGGTCTGAGGATCAAATGTAGCCCTGCAGGTACCCTAAATCGTGGCCCATAGTTACTATCTTCCTTCATTTGCAAAGCATGGAGGGTTAGAACTGCTCACCTGCAATTTTTCATTGCTGATGAACCTCTATTAATCTATGAAGGGAGATGCAATTATTCACAAATAGATTTCTCCAGTTATTTGGGGGATATTAATAAAAGTTTATATTCAGGCAATGTGTTCCTGGTGATTGAGCATGGGTCTAGGAACTTCTAATTTCTATCCCACTTCAGAAAGTGACTTGTTATGCTGAGCATCGACAATTTGCTTAGCAGATCGGTGCCTCAGTTTTCCCCCTCTGTTTCTAGCACTCATAAGCTACTTGTAAGTCTGGAGGACTGACAAGCATCCATAATTCACAAATTACAAGTTCTATTATTCACTACCAGCAGTGTAAACATCACACCAATTATTAAATCAATTTTCAGAAACAAGTTAAGCAGTAGTGATAGAGATGCAGCCGTGTTATTCTGGTCTAGCTGAAACAAAAGACAGAACTATGTAGCACTTTAAAGACCACGAAAGCTCATCACCTAATAAACCATCTTGT